AAACCAGGCTGCAGAAATACAAAACACAAAGAAAGAAAAAGGCCTTTAATTGCCTGGATGTGAGCGGAAAACGCGACATTTGCTGACTGCGACAGAAGTCAAAGCGATGTACTTCATGCATAGTGAATATGATTCATGGATGAAAAGAATAGTAAAAAGGAGTAAAAACACCTGTAAACCATTACTGGAATTACATGGCTATGATTCAACAATATAACGCTACACTAAAGCCAAACCCAGCACAGCAGAACCCCTCCCATCAAAAAACGATTACATTTCTAGTTTAATGAATGGAATGTGCACAGGAAAAAGAAAGACCATCACAATCAGATTCAGTTAACGATCTACTCTGCAGGAAGACCACACATCTCCTTTCTTATAATTCCCCCACAACGATGTGTTGTTAAGACAAAAGACAAAAGACAAGGCACATCGATTGTAGGGACATGCGGACGGATTTCCCTGCGTCACTCTCCGTGCACTCAGCGTCTTGCGTTCTCTCCTCCTCCCTTTTTTTTTTTTTTGCAGGCCGCATGCGGTTTCAGGTTTGAAATCAATTTGACTGAGATGAAAGTTTTCAATTTCATTAGCTTGATCAAATGGAGCGCTGTTAACAGGCGGCGGTAATAGAAAATCATTTAGGCCGAGCAGCTCACACACACTCAGAGGACTGGTTTAAGAGCCGCTCGGAGAGGGAGAGAGGGGAGGGAGGGAGGGGAGGGGAGAAGGGAGGGAGGGGGGGGTGACAGGTGGGAACATATCGACGGGCGAGAGTGAGAAGGGTTCAGAACAGAGCGACGACAAGGAGATAAATATTGCATTTTGGAGAGAGAGAGAGAGGACGTGAAAGACAAGGACAAAAAAAAGTCTGAGGCATGATGGCAGTGTGGGGGGGGGGGGGGGGGGTTATGGAGTGAAGGAGGCTGGTGGTGGAGAAAAAGGGACCAAAAAAATGCTCTTTTGGAGACAAAGAAGAAGACGACGGAGGAGAGCGAAAGAGGAACAGGAAGAGACAGACAGACTCAATGTAAGAATGATTGATGAGCGTTTATGAGGGAGATTAAATGTCACAATAACGGATGAGAAGGACCAGGATGCGGCGAAGATCGGGAAAGAACGCAAGAGAGACGGGTCTCTGCCCGGTGAGTGTCCGCTGAGCAGCGGCCCGTTAAGCCCCCTTTTTATTGCTCCTCACAAGTTTGTCAGAGAAAAATGTGTCGTGATGAAAGGACGTAAATAAACAATTAGCCGCCTAAAGACTCGCCAGCTCACTATCACCACCAAGACGGATTGGATATCAGGCACAGATCGGTACCCGAGATAAATGCTGAGGCAGAGAGGGAATTTAAAAGAGAGAGAGAGAGGAATGGTGCTTAACGGATGATTATCCGATCACACACAGTCCAGACCGTGATGCGGCTTTAGCAGAAACAGTGTTTTAGTGACACACACACACACACACACACATTCAGAAATGCCAGAGGAGAAAAAGAAAGCTAATGTTTATCCATCGTTAGTCTCTTCTCAAGTCATTAGCTTATGATGATAATGATCAGCTAATTCTGTTTCTCACACACGCAGTGGCAAACCAGCGAGGTGAGGCTAATGTACGGGCAGATTTGTTGCTGATGAGCTCAACCTCAAACCCTCCAACCTGACTCCCAGACCTGCAGTAGCAGACAAACTCCAACACACGCACACAAAATGAGCCCGGCTGTTCGTGCTAATCGGGGGCCCTTCGTGGTCTTGTCGTCCTCGTGGTCACTGAGGACACGGAGAACTGGAGGCTGAGACAAAGTGGGATTGCTCACAAGTATTCTGACCGACTCGACTTTCAGTTGCCGCCTGATAGAGCTTCAAACAGCAGAGACACTCAAAGACAAACCCGTGGAACTGATGCCTAAAAAGACCAAAGAACTAAAGCCTCTGCATAGAACCCAATGGATTAAATACAGTGAACACGCAGCGATCCAGGCGCACACACAAGAAAAAGACAGACATCTTCTCCAGTGGGATCAGGGAGTCAGTGGTTCATCCAATTGGAGGATTATTCCATGTTAGGCATGTTACCTCCTTGCTGTATTTCCCGACAGCTGATGAGTCCCCTTTCCATCACGCAACTGCCGAACTCTTTGACCGTTTGAACATGTGCAGGCCCACAGACCGCATCCTCCCTGCTGAGCTTCACTGAACGGAATGGAACCAGAGGGAGAGAAAACTTCGCCCCCTGTGTGACGACAACAGGAGTTTGTCTCCCCCGCTACGATGAGACGCAACTCTTCTCCCTCTCCTTTCAGTGTGGCGTCGGACATTATCGCCCCGCTGAAATGGAAGAGACGCGCGCAGCTGACGGGAGGTGAAGGAATTGTTGATGATAGAGGGAACCGCTTTTCTGAGATCTCTTTTATGGAAACTCGTTTACCGAATATGTGCGGAAAAAAAAGGTTTCCATTTGACACGAGTGTCTCTGATTGACTCTGCGTGCTACCTTCCTGCTTCAGCCACGTTCAAAGCAGTGGCAATAGAGGCTCTTTTATCCTCTCACTTCTCCAAACAGGCAACGCCGCTGCAGCACCATAATATCCAGAACACACAAGATGCAGAAAAAAAAAAATCAATAGCGATAAAAGGTAAAAGTTGTTGTTTGACCGTGGGAAGGAGGCGGCAGGGAGTGAAGACAGCCTCGCTTTCACTTCTCTCAGTCGACACAATTAGCTTTTTGACCGTCTCCGCGAGCCTGCATGTCTGTGCGCTCGACCTTCCTCCCCCCCGTCACCCTGACCAGAAGGCCGCGCGCGTGTCTTCTGAGAAAAAAACGCTCCCCGTGGAGGAGACGGATTTTCTCGCATCGCGCTCCTTACTGCATTTGTGGGAAAATGTAAAAAACATTTTCCATCCCTGAAATAACCCCTTAGGGATTTTATATCTTCTTCTTTGTTGCTTATTTTTCAGAGGTTAAGCTCCCTCTGTGTGTGGGTGAGTTTGCACGTGTGTGTGTGTGTGTGTGTGTGTGTGTGTGTGTGTGTGTGTGTGTGTGTGTGTGTGCGAGCGTGTGCGTCATGCGAGTGTGCTCATACGAGTGTGTGCCCGAGTGAGTCAGCGAACTAGTGAATGAAACCAACAATGACACACAAAGGGTGATACATTTGCAGAAAACACAGCGAATAAAGGACATGGTGGGAGACCATTGTCTATGTGTGTGTGTGTGTGTGTGTGTGTGTGTGTGTGTGTGTGTGTGTGTGTGTGTGTGTGTGTGTGTGTGTGTGTGTGTGTGTGTGTGTGTGTGCGCGCGCGATTTTACATCACAAATTATTAATGCTCTCAACTGCATGAGTAATGGTGCAGAGTGCTGACATTTCGCTACAGGTGTCGTGCAAAACGCGCTCGAGCACACGGACACGTGAGGCCGGAGGGGTTTCAGGGTTTGAAACACAAGTGCAATCGGCCAGTGAACGTTATAAAAACATATATAGAAAAATAAATATGGAGAAACTATGTAAATCTGTGTTGATACATCTAAAACATGTGAATCAGATGGAACATAGCAGCCCCAAAGCATCGACAACAAATAGCTTGAATTCATAAGTGATAAATATGTATTTTTTTAAATATTCAAGTATTGACTTCCTGTTTGATTTGCATGAGAGTTGAGTGAAGCCCCAGCAGACCTCCTGCTGAGCATAAAGAGCCGAGCAGACATCGCTCTGAAGCTCTGCGCTCCAACAAACCAACAGACGAACCTGGATGAGGGAAATAACAGTGATGCAATTACAATGAAATGGAAACGCCACTCAACGAGTGACGAGCCGACGACATCAAATGGGACTTCCGGGGGGAGAAGTTGCAGTGATGGAAGCTCTTTGATCAGCGGGAGGGAGGGAGAGGTTGGAGCCATGAGCTCCCCGAGCTGCCCGGTGGGAACCGAGATGGACCTTTCGACCCTTTGCGTGTCTGTGTGCAACTAAACTGCAATCAGAGCGCAGTACGCACCGCCGGACCCAAAAGACGTAGAGACAAAGTAAAGCCCACGTGACGGAGAGGAGGAGAAGCGGAGGTGTCTGGGAGGAGAGCAGCGGAGGAAGTCTTTTGGTTGACTTCCTCTAATGGTCACTCGGCCGGGGCGCAGCTGTTCGGTCTCCCGTCGGCGCGGCGACTCTGACCCGCTCAGTGGGCCGTGAGTGACCGCGGCGCATCACCAGAGCGCGCGCGTAAGCAAAGCTCGGGGAGGAGTGTGATGCTGCGGCTGCGGAAGGACTGTCATGTGCGTGGGAAACGGAGGCGTGCGAGTGTCTCTAAATAGCTGAAAGTCTGCTTTACCGTACGCTGCTTTTTGTTTTTTTGTGTGTGTTTTTTTGTGTGTTATCTCGATTTTATCATAGACGCGAGGGACGTGCGATTTGGCCCTTCAATTTAAAAACGCGCAGACCCCCTCTTCCAAGGGGACACTCGCATACCGGATCTCAGGAGCGCAGAAGTTTCGTGCGTCTCTGTGCGGCACTGCTCATAATACGCACCAGTCATTTCTATTGTTCCACGGGAGTTTAAAATAAGAATCAAAGCAAATCGATCATCATTTGCTCAAAAATGAAAGATGAAAACCCAGGAGGGTCAGCTTGTGATCGGCACGCGGCAAACGACCCATCATTCGGGAAAGGCGTCCTGGCTTCGTGCAACTCGTCCCATTTAAAGGCTTGTTAAGGATGTATTGTCCCGTGGGTCGACGGGAGGATGGAGCGCCGGGTAAACCGAGGTGTTCGTTAGGCTTCCCCTTCTCCCGCCTCCCCGTCTAACATCACTCGTGTCCAACGCGCACGTTGACGCACCGCACAAGCATTAAATGTGATCGCGCCTTACAACAATAACAACAATACAAGTTCAGACAAAAGGGATGAAACCCGTACTGCAAGTGGCTGTGATATACTCCGATTCCAGCCTCCGAAAAATATTCTTTTGTTGTTGTTGTTTTGCTTCAAACGGACAGGTGTTTGCCTGCATCTTACCTTTGCACAGGAACATAAGCAGCACCGTCCTCCAGAGGTGACATCCCCCCAGCGCGCTCCCCCTTCCCCGGTCGGCCTGCATCCCTCCTCCCGGTGGAACCGAAACCTCCGCAACTGTTCACAAATCGGACCAGGGGGGAGGAGGGTGAGAGGGGGGGGGGTCTTTTTAATCAGTTCTCTCGTTCCCTCGGATGGATCACGGACGCCTCGGTGCCATCAATGATCTCTATTTGCGCTCTGGGACCAAGGCACCGCGCAGATGTTGGGAATGAACAAGAAATCCTCCTGCAATCAGTTATTAAGAAGAAGAACAAGAAGAAAAACAGATAGTAATTCCGGTTCAGGCTGTTTTTTTTTATTTTTAATCCTCCCCACACTCCAAAAAAAAAAGTCCGCGATGGTTCACCTTGAAGACGGAGCCGAGGGATCGTTTGCTCCGTGGAGAGCTTTTTCCGCCGGGGCCTCCTCGGCTGTGTTTTATCCAAACGGGACAAC